CTCTGTTTCTTCAGAGCAGAGAGAGCATGGCAATACCAGCACAGCCCCCATGCCTGAAGGGGTAAGTTGCTGCAACAAGTCAAGGTTTGACTCAATCAAGTCATCTTTGGGAGAGGGAATAAGGATAAAAGTTCCAAACAGCCACACTTGGTGAAATTGCATTCCTGGGTTAATTTGTTGTGTTGAACCCGAGGTAAGTCACTTCAAAGGAAGAGTAGGGAGGCAGCCAACAGGTGACCTAAACATGCCCTCAGGGCAGTAACATGAAGGAACTGGAGGGAGAGAGTTGTTCACCTGGGGATTAACTATCAAGGAAGAAGGTTCTGCTGTTTCATCTACTACCAGAGCAATTTAGATAATTTTTCTTCTGAAGATGGCAAATGCATTCCTGATGCTGAAGTGCATTTAAATTTCTATACCAGCAAACAGTGGCATATACTAAGCTGTGAACTCAGTGGCTTCTGCCCTTCTACTTGTGAGCTCTCCTTCCCATTGTGAACATTCTCATAGGTCATTGTCATCAACAGTGGATACTGCAGGAAAATCTTGGCAGGTAAAAGAACCAAGGGTTTAATTGGAGAAGATTAAGGGTGTGTCAATGTTGGTTTTATCTGACACCTTTCAAATCAAAGTCCACATCTGTTTGTAGGCACTCTGTTTCTTCTATAGTTTCTCTAGTTTATCAGTGACTCATGAGTCTCCTGTGGAGTACTAAGAAGGGCTTAACCTGTGCATTGTAAAGACTTGTGCTCATGAGGTTTGAAGCAAAGAAAACCAAACTGCTTATCTGTGCCACTACTTTGCCACTGACAATTTAACGGTGATTTATTATTTCTGGCATGCCTTCCAGGCCTCTTAGCAGAACTGCCCTGAGGTTTTTAGGAGTCCCTAGAGTACTACACTGAGAGCCATTTCCCCACATCCATATCAGGTGTCAGTTGCAGACAGGGTGGAAACACTGCTGGAAACAGCATGGAAAAACTCTTATAACACTAACCCCAGCCTTTCTTTTGCTGCAGTTATTTCCTTACTATGGCACTGAACTCTGTGTGCTTTACCTTTCCCCATGACACAACCTCACACATGTCCTGCAGCATTCTGAGCTTGACTTGGCAGGTTTCTGCTGAACATGCTAGTTCAGTGGTTGCTTCGTAATCAGGTATGTGTGGGTGACTGTGTGCATTCCAGGAAAGCTGGGCATGTGCTTAAAGTAAGGATGTGTTCGTGTACCTTGCAGCTTCCAGTCCAAATAGCAAACACTTGGGCAGCATTCAGTTCTAAACGGAGCTGCTGTAAAAGACCTTTGCAGCACATGTCAGCCAAACAGACTTTTGTCATGTTACTGGGACATGGTGCTGCTTCAAAACTGTTCAAGGAAAGAGAAGAAGCCAGTGGTAGCACCGGTGATGATTTGGATCACTTGTCGTCACAAATTTGCCTGTCATTAACATGAAGGGACTACTGCCCTAGACGTTTATCTCCCCAAGAGATCCTTTATCCTGCTGCTGGTTTGCTAGAGAGAGATGAGTTCTCACTCATGCTTCATGTGTCTGGAGGGGAGAGAGACACAGTTGTCCCGTCAGGCACCTTGCTAAGAACCTCTTCTGTGCATTTTCTGTTTGACACAGAGGCACAGTTCCTTAAAATGAAGCAAATGAGCTTTTTGGAAGTGACATGACACTTCATGAGAGAGTGCATTTAGGATGTGTCTGCTGAAGGTGTGAAGCACATGCAAATCTTATTATTACACTTGCCATTAAATATCTTTCTTCAGGTAGTGGCTTTACTTTGTTGTTTAGCAAACTTTACTTCTGAATGGGAGCGTTCACTCTGAAATCTGTGTATTCATTAACCTCACACCTTTGGTTAGTGACCTTAACTTTCCCAAGTGCTGATGTGCTGACAAGCTCTAGGGACAAATTATGTTCTCAGTGAAGTAAAACTTGGTACAGCTGATACCAGTGACTTGCAAGCTGGGAGTAAAATGGAAAGCACCATAAATTCATCTGTGCCTTGCAGGCAGGATCATATGCTTTTCAACTCGCATAGCCAAAAATCTGTTTGTACATAGACGTCATTCCTTCCCAGGGGTAGTCATTGAACAGATTCTGTTCTACGTGCCAATGGTCTATAAGAGAGCAGGTGTTTCTATATCTAACGTACTGCAGATCTGAACCCAGGGCTGTTATTTTGACTTGGGATCAGGACACATTCATTCCAAAGTCTATGATCCTCACTGCCATAAATACTTTTTTTTTGTTGTTGTTGTGGTTCTTAGCATTTTGCATTATTTTAAAGAAAAGATTACCATTATAGTCTTCTCTATTTGATTCGAGTGTTTTTCCATACTCTGCTTCTGTAGGGTTAATTATTTGCCCCTTTTAAGATAGACTGGTAACAAAAAATTGCATACAAATGTTGGTCTGAATCTCATTCAGACAGATGGGTGTCTTGGTATTGCTACTGCCTACCTGCAGAAAAGGTAAAGTTAGGTATGTCAGGGGACTTACCTGCAATCCTAAATGCAGAGTTCAAAATTCAGACTTCTTAGGTGGGTTTGTGTGTAGTTTGAAGAATCATAGTTTTAATATACAGGAAGAAATAGGTAGCATCTAACTGAAAAATCTGAAAGCACTTTAGTTACTTTGAGCATTTCTGTGAGGCAGGGAAAATACGTGATATCCAAGGGTTATATCACTCACAAAATAATGGAGTTCCCTAAGGTGTTCACAAGTTAGACTGATTTACTAGACCAGTATCCAGCCCCATTTGTACTACATTTTAAGAACTTTCTGTACTAATGAAATGCCAGGAATGGCAGTGGAAAGGCTCGTGGTAAAGGACTGGTGGAGTAAAGGAGATTATTTCCAAAGTTAAGTTTCAGGGTTCAACAGGCTAGGACTTTCTGGACTGGGTGTCCTTCTGGAACATTAGATGACAAGTAGTCACAACTCTGCTTCACCTTGCCCCTAATTCACCTTAGCAGCATATGTCTCTAAGGATTCAGTTTCACCCCATCGGAGAGCAGAAATAGCAGCTTACTGTCACCGAAAGAGGGAAGCACAGGCCCCTCAGCACAGCCCTGCCTTTCTGCTGCCAGTGCAGTTTTGCTTCTTACCTTGTGCTGCTGTGAGCTGTTGTTGGATTCCTCTGCAAGCCAATTTAGGGCCAAAAGCAAGGGTGGGGGAGAGGGGAGGGGGAAGACTTTGGAAGAAGAAAAAAAAGTTATATTAGTACCTACTGTGATGCAGTAAGATTGAAACCATGGACCAAAGTGTTGGATGTTGGATACCTGCTGTCCACTGTCTGCATTTCGGGGTATTTTAGTGTACCTCTGGTCCCAGCCTGTAGACTGACTGCATGGCCACTAGCTGGGTGTTCAGGTTGGAGTGTTCAGGTGTGCTGCTGGAGGACAGCTTTCGGTTCAGGTGATCTGAAACCATCTGGCTTATGTGCTCTGAGTCTGCTCTACAGTGCAAACTGGGTGTGGTAAGGGGGGGACAGTTAGGCAATTTGCTCCCAAAGAAAACCCCTGAGCTGAGCTAAAGCATAGACCTAAGGGAAGTGGATCAGCTGTGCAGGAAAGGGTATGGCTGCAAAGCTGGAGGAGTGGGAATCACCTGCTGTCCTTCATCAGGCTGTGTATCTGCTCAGGTGAGATATTGCCCAAATCTGAGTTCCTAGTGCCCACCTTCATAGACTGATGCCAGCTCTGCTCCACTTAGAAAAGCTGATGGGTTTGCAGCAGAAAACTGTGCAACATGACAAGTGTGAGGGATTTTAGCTAAAAGCTGGAATTTTCTTGGTAACTACAAGGTGAATGTGTCTGTGCATGAAAATGGTGCAGGTGGGCAAAGATATCCAATTTGCAAATAAGCAACCACATTTCATCCATGAATTGCTGCAGTTTTGGGGCATGCATATGGTTAGCTGTGCTTGATATGTTTGTGTATACATATCAAAATCAATCCTAAAATCATGTTTGCCTCACTGTGTTTTTGGAAAAGCTCAGGGTGTGGCTCTCAACTGATACTAGTGGTATTAGTGAAGGGAAAGGTGAGTTCCCAAATGTAAATCAGCACCCAGGATTTTAAACAAGGCATTTGTAAGCACCAAAGCTGGTCAAACATGACTTGCTGTGTTTTATATCTCGTGGTTGATAACCATGCCTTTGTAGTGGGGGCCTGAAGTCTGTCAGAAGGATGAGCAATGTGCAGATTCACTGGTTTATAGAAATATCCAATATTTCCTCTCCTTTATCCTTCATGAAGATAAAGCAGTCTTCCCCTTTTATTTTCATAAGAGTTATAGGAGCTAAACTTTTTTAAAGGTACCTGCTCCTCTGTCCTGTGTGGCTTGAATGGGCCAACACTCTATCTAGGCACAGAGTGATTACATTAGCCTCATTTCCATAGGAAGCCAGATAAGAACAGGGAGTTAGGGATAAGCTTCCAAAACTCTACTTGAAGACGAACCAGAAGCAATGGAAAAGACACAGTAAACCACTGCAACACCTACCCTTCTGGTACCTGCTTCCTGAGTGGGGTCCCAAACCCTTTCATGGCTCCAATTTGCAGTTTGAAGAAGACAGGCATTACAGAACTGGATTGGGATTCTGCTGTCAGCAGATAGGAAGTCATGTCCTTGGAAGTGCTTAGGGACCATAGACCTTAGTTGAGCAAAGGGTTTTTCATGTGCTTTGTCACCAAAATTCTTTCAGGGATCAAGTTCAAAATTAATAGGTGAACTTTATAGTTAGACTCCCAGGCTGCCATTTATACACCTGTCTAAGGAATTTGAAAATTTAACCGGGACATGGGAAACTGACTTGATCTGGAAGAAAAGATTTACTAATCACAGTTTGCAATAGTCAGTTTCCCACTGGATTTTGATTTGCATAGCCAGATGTCTCAAATCTGTTTCATTTTCTTGCAGGCATGTTCCCAGCATTGCATTTTGAAGCTATAAGAGATCTTGTGTTTCTTGTAGGTAGCTTAAAGATGGATGCTTCCCAAGAAATTCAGCCTACAGGAGGGTTCAAATGTCAGCTGTGCAGCTTAACAGTTCTGTGCATGTCCTGTGGGCCGAAGTCACCAAACTCCAGCTCTGTTGCATAAGTGCACTCCGGGATTACATTTGTGCTATGAAGCAATGGCCACTGCATAACCCAATACTGTGCTACATTCCCCCTGAATATGGGGCTTGGTACCTGAAGTGATCATTTTCCAAAGGGAAGGAATGGTAAAAATTGTCAGGGTTGATAGCAAAGACAGAAATCAGCTTTCCTGTCCTTCTTTAATACCATGCAAGTATTTGTATGTAACCTATTTCTGAGCCCCACTGACCACTCTACTATTTACCTATACCAATAGTTTCTTGCCAGAATACTGTTGACTACCAGCCCAGTATTGCTGGGAACAGCCCTTTCCTCACAGTAGCCTCCCTCAGGTGGGCAATACTTACACACAGCATGAGTGAAATATATGTGGTAAAAACACCTTTTAAGAGCTATTTGGCACGATGTGGAGTTTTGAACAGCAGTGCTTTTTTTTTTTGCATGAATTAGAGAATCCTTTGTCAGACTGCATGACATTAAATTGTGTGGAAATTTAGTATGTATTTACATTTTCAGAGACTGAAGCCTTTTCCATCTCTGCTAAGTAGGGTTGGTTTGACCAGAAACTATGCAGTTACTTTTTCTGCAGACATTATCCCCATAAAATAAAACACTTCACTTTAAATGCATGAGTAGCTTGGTGGAGACCATCTTGGTCAATGAACCCATCAGACAAACATGGTCACGAACTGACTGGAACTGGAAATCAGGCATGTACTCAGCATTTCATCCCACTAAGACTTCTCAGCTTCTTATAGAAATGAAACAGCTGTTGATCTCATCCTGCTTGGGCTGTTTTCCTTGGGCAGCTGGTTTTCCCTTTTCCATGGCTCAGCTTTGATCAAGTCCATCCCTAAAGAGTCTGAATTGAAGCTGAACATGAATCTTAATTTTAGGTTATCTAAGCTCAGTATTAACATCTCAGCTTTATTTGGATTCTCAGATGCCAAAACCAAAAGAATAATACTGAAGCACAACACTTCTATACATGCAGATAAGGAATAGCTTCACATACCATCTTTATTTGTGCTGCAGGAAATGTGCTAGACATGAGGGTTTGTCCAATGGCCAGGGCTGTGAACTACATTAGGGCTATGTATCTTGCAAGGAGAGCTTTGCAAACATAATCCAGTCTTTGTACACTAGGAGGCTTGCTGACAAGGTGATCTGCCATGTTAAGATGCCTGGTCTTTCCTAAGAGTGGAAGGCTCTGGCCACACCATTTTTTGTTTGAGTGGAGAGAAGAAGAAAGGAACACATTCAGGGATGTACACATACCTGTGTGTGTGTATGTAGGCAAGGAGAGGGCAGTATGAGTTAACAGAATGCCTTTTATCCATATTACTGCAGAACCCAAGTTTGACTGAAGCCCAGGAGGTAGCCAGCCTTGTGGGGTGCCCTGTGCAGTCAGACACCCAACTGACTTCTGTAATATTTTGCCTGGAGCTCTCAGGAAGAACGAGGCCTTAGTCTTTCCTAAGCAGGTTTCCAAATCATTAATAAATGCACTCCCTTAATGCCCTGGAGCAAACAGTACAGTCTGTGACATAAAGCAAGCACATTGCAGGTGACTGCAAGGCTCTCTGCCAGTAGCTCCTGCTTTCAAGAGGTGGGAACCTTTGCTTCATAGCAGTGACATTAACTAAGAGCAGTAAAACCTTTTTAGTTTTATACTCACGTGCATGGAGCGTTGAGAGAGAACTTCTAACTAAAAGCTGTGCAATTGAAATGGTAACTTGACGAAGTACTGAAGTTGGCCATGCAAAGGAAGGGCTGCCATAAAAAAAGTGGAAGATAAACAATTACTTTTAGGTAGAGCATTGAGAAGAACACAGTAAGATGACATTGAGAGGCTCACCAATTGCCATATCTTGGAAGACAGACAGAAGTGCAATATAGGACTGAAGGCAGACACAGTGTTGGCTTTAAAGAGAAGAGGAGCTGCATAGCTGCTCCATTGCCTCATGTAAAACAGTAGGCCAAGCAAATCAAGTGGAAAGGGCTGATAACTTCTCAGCCTCCACAATTTCCTCCTTTCAGCTGCCTCCTACTCTTAAAAGCCTGAAATTATACTCTTACAGGCTTTTGGAAGAAGCCTGTCATGAAGGATCCTTTCACCCCTAACAAGGACAAATTCCTCATCCTTGGGTTTCATTGCAGATTGTGTAGCAGATCAGTGTTCATTGGTACAGTAAGTAACAAGGAAAACAATCTTCTTCAGCCATTTCTTTTTGTTCCAGTCCTGGTGACCTGTTAGAGAAGGACCAAATAACCAAAGCCCAAACAGCCTATTTTTAAGACAAGCCATTCCCCCTTGTCCTACCACTACATGTATGCTAATTGTATATGGTTGCATGTTCTTGTGGATTCCCCAAGATGAAGCTCTCAGTATTAAATTAAAATGGTCAGCAAATGTAAGTGTTCTGATACAGATGAGCACAGTCCAGCCTCTCAAACTCAATGAGTGCTCTTTTCTACTTTCCTAGTACCAGGAAATCATACTATACCAACAGTAGACTTTTTTTTTCTGTAAAGGGAATATAAATGCCCATGAGGTGTTAGGTTTGCATCCACAGCACAGGGTTGCCATCCTATTTGCAAAAGTTAATCACAGAATATTCAGAGTAGGAAGGGACCCACAAGGTTCATCCAGTACCACTTTTGGCACTGCACAGGACATCGCCAAGAAGCACACCCTGTGCCTGAGACCATTGTCCAAGCACTTCTTGAGCTCTGTCAGGCTTTGTGCTGTGACCACTGCCCTGGGGAGCTGTTCCAGTGCCCAAAAACCCTTTTACTGAATGTAGAAAGTGAGCAGGGAGGAGAGTTGTACCTTGCCATGCTAGCTCTCTCAAGAAGAATGAATTTGAATAGCAGCTGGTAGGCAACCTTAAAGTTATGAAAGCTGAATGCAGTCCAGAAAGGCAGTGTAAAATTACAGGTATCTTAATTCCTTCTCTTCAGTACAGAACTGGCCCTTTTGTTTGCTGTGAGTTCAAAGCAAAACCAAAGACAAATTATTCACAATTTTCAATGTCCAGAGTCAGTACTGTGCTTCTTTGAGGCAGTACAGTGAATTGAGTAAAGTTAGGTACCACTCCTTTCCCTCAGCATGCCAGTTCTGTGCTTGGAAGAGACTTGGGACACACACAGTAGTCAGGACTTGTTCATGATACAACTCACAAGGAGGTGTCCTCTGATTGTTTGTGTGAACAATAGCAGGTATTTGTTATGGCAGACACTGTTGCCCTCATAGCAGACAGATCATAGAATCATAGAATGTTAAGAGGTTGGAATGCACCTTAGACATCATCTAGTCCAAACTCCCTGCCTTGGCCAGGGACACCTCCCACCAGATCAGGTTGCTCAAGGCTTTATCCAACTTGGCTTTGAACACTGCCAGGGTTGGGGCAGCCACAGCCTCCCTGGGCAGCGTCTTCCAGTGTCTCACCACCCTCACATTAAAAACCTTCTTCCTAATAACTAATTTGAATTTCCCTTCTTTCAATTTATACCCATTACTCCTTGTCCTATCACTACAGTTCCTAACAGTCTCCCTCCACCTTCCTTGTAGGTCCCTTCAGATACTGAAGGTTGCTATGAGGTCTCGATGCAATCTTCTCTTTTTCAGGATGAACAGCCCCAACTTTCTCAGCCTGTGTTCATAGGGAAGGTGCTCCAGTCCTCTTATCAGCTTTGTGACCCTCCTCTGTACTTGCTCCAACAGTTCCATGTCCTTCTGATGTTGGGGACGACCGTGGCCTTCTCTTTCAATGTAGTTGTTTGTATCCCAGAGTAACACATTTGAATCTAGAGTGCAGCTAATAGCAGGAGCTATTAGCAAGAACATGCCTTGGGTTTGTGTGTCAGCTTTAGCAGTTTTCAAACTGACGCAGCCCAATCACAGTGGCTAGGAACCAGCTCCAGAACCTTGCTTCAAGTAACTACTAGTGGGCATATTAAAACAAACAGACCTGCTAAGGTCTTGTGAAGATGTAGATTTTTATTCATGTTTGGTCGCCAGTTGTAGTTCTGGTGGGACAAAGTAACACCTCTGGCCTCCTCTGAGCATGAGGTGAGACAGCACATATGCCAACACCAGACAGTTTCTGTGTGGGGACTCGAAATTCTCTTGAGCAAAACAAAGGGCCAAATTACACAGACAAAATTTCAAGAGTTGGGCAGACACAGCCAAAAGGATATTGGCACACTTGGACAGGTTTAGCTGCTGTTGTGAGTTGCAGGGAGTTAGCACCAAGGATGGGTTTGGTCCACAGTCCTAAGAGGAGCATGCAATAGTGCTGCTCTCCTCATTGGGCTTGTTTCCTTGTTAAGGAAATTTTCCTACCCTAGGTTTCCTGCATCAGAGTGTCAGACATCCGATTTCGGGAAAATACCCAATCTAATAACTGAGTGTTACAGCAGTCAGAACAGCTCAGGGAGGGACCCTAAACAAAGGAATCCCTGGGCTTTTATACCCTTAGAGTCTTTGTGTCCATTCCAATGGGGACTTTTGGGTCTGGGGTCTTCCTGCTATTCACTGCCTCCCCCAGAGTCTTGGAGTGACCAACCCCACCATGGCTGGGGCTGCAGGTCCTTGAGCCCTTTGTTAGGCAAAGGTTTGGGACCTTTGGCTCATTGCCAGGGCCCCTAGGTGTTTCCTGCCATCCAGGGCACAAGGTGCAGCTGGCACACAGCTACCTGCACTGCAGGTGTTCCTCAGCATCCTATCTCTGAAGTCTCCTTCTGTCTTTTACATGAGTTAAAATCAACTCAGAGGATTTTTTCCCTTTCTGGAACTACCAGAGGACTAGGTGGGAGTCAGATGAAGTGCTAGCACTCTCTGGTTACAGCTGTGGTAGCTGTGCTCAAGTGTCCAGAGCCAAGTCGCTCAAGCCAGTTGTGTGGAGGCAAATCTCACATATGAGCAAGACCTTCCTAGTGACAATGTCCCTCTGGTGCCTGGTAGTTGACTCCCATACACACCCAAGTGAGGAGGCAAGTGCAGCTAGTCTGATCATTTGGGTTTAGGAGATTGACTCCTGCCCTGACACATCAGGTTTATGCTTCCCTTTTAACAGCAGAGCATTGGCAACGCAGACATATTTTGGACAGACTTGAGCACATTCAGCTATTTTCATTCCCAAACACACTATCCTGAATTTATGAAGGATTCAATGGATGTTTCCACATGTGGCAGTTCAGTCTGTCAGAAACATTGTGTTTCAGCCTGCCAGGATCTTTGCACACAGTGCATGTTTCTGAATGAAGGTGGATCTTTCTCTTTTAAAAGATGTGTTTGTTCAGTTAACCTGGGCCATGGCAATGTATAGAAGATATTGGCAGTGAGTTAATGGAAGCTTCTTCTAATCTGTTTGACAGTCTTGCTTATTTTGCCTGTTGTGGAAATATGTCAATCATTTACTGCTTGTTATCTGAGTTTTCAAGATTCCCCTGATGGTATCACTCAAAGCAAAACCTTGATTGTAAATAATGGAGAATAAATTTCTTACCAAACTGGCCAGGCCAGATAGTGAATCACACTTATGACTATAGTTTCAAAATGTATTTAGCAATACTGCTTAGGTAATATTGAAAGAGATCTGCAGAAATGATAATTAGTGCTTTAAACACCCACACCACAAAGTAGGTAA